GTCTGGGTGGACAGATTGGACTGCATCTGCAGCCAGTTTCTTAGGATCCACTGTGGGATGGACCTTTACAAGAGATCCTTCCTGTCTACAGCCATCAGCATCTATAACATCTCTTAATGAAATGAGGATCACGAGTTACAACAACAAATAATTTCCCTTTGGGATTAATAAAGTATTTTTGAATTGAATTGAATTGAATTGAAATGAAAGAACATGAGACATAATTGTTCAGGAGAAAACAAATGTCTGACTAACAGTAGCATCTGACAAGTAAAAAAAAAACACAATAAAAAACAAAACAAGGAGTACTGTATGTCTATGCTGGTAGGGGTGATTACTGGGTGGTAGCAGCTGGGCAGATTAGTAGATGAAGGGCAGTTGAGAAATGAACTGGGATCCATGCTGTGCTCACTGGGGGAGTCAATGGCATATTAAGCATGTTGCATATTCTGAAAGAACCACAAAATCTGTTTGTTTACTCAATCTGACATGTACAAGAAAATAATGTATTCTTTCCATTGCATTTCATAATTCATGAGAAACTCAGATGCAGAAATCCTAGATGCAGGATATAGACATTCTCATTTCCATCATTACTCATGCTCATTTCACATTTCTGACCAATCACACAAAGATACACCACACAGAAAAAAAAAAAAAAAGTTCTGCCTAGATGATGTGTTGAGAGCAAGTTGAAAGAATTTACAAACCAAGACTATGAGAAAAACTAAGCGAACAGGTGTGAGATAGAGGCGTGTTTCGCTCAGAAAACCACAAGTGTATTACCTCATAATTTGCCTTTAGGCATCAGAAGTTAAAGTCAAATCCCACTTCTGCTTAGTTTCCTTTATGTAGCAGAGGAAAAAACAACAACTTTGAAGTAACAAACATTTCCGTTCAAAAAACACGATGAAGCCCTGAAGAAATAGGGAAGTGCTCTGGACTAAAAGCAAAGTGAATCCAGATGTTACCATGTTCACAAGGTGGAGTCGACTTGTACAGTAGTTGTTTTTCTTTGTTTAAAGTTTAGTCACTTTTTTATTTCCAATTTTCCTGGCCATCACTCAGCCCCCTTTTTATATTTTTTTCAAGTTTTTGCTTTACTCTGTTGGAGCAAAAAAAGGTTTATTGCACCTTCCCAAAAATCCCACTATAACGGTAACTCTCCAGCTTGCTGTAGAAACTGTGGACAAAAAAGTGCAAATCATTGCCATATTTTTGGGACTGTCAAGTAATTAAAACTTATTGGAAGGAGATACATAAGCAATACAAGATATTATTGGAAGTCAAATGCCTCTAGAAAGTAAAGTTTTATTTTTTGGACTCATGCCTGAAGGATGGTCAAAGATAGACAAACATTTGTTTAATATTTTGTAAGTGGTGTGCAAAAAAGCCCTTATGAAAAATTGGCTTTCACGGGAGATTCCAACACTGAACATATGGATGGACACCACAACGGACATATACAGAATGGAGAGAATATCTGCAGAAGTAAATGATGAAAAGAAGTAAAAGGTGCCTTCCTAAACAAAAATCAAAGTATCTTCAGGATTCAGTGATATATGCAAATAAAGGTTAAGCAAAACATACATATATATAATCTTTGCTTTATTAAAATACAGACTAGACACTGACTCACAAAAATATACAGAATACACCATGGTATTTTTGAACTTCATTTTTAATAATAAAATTGAAAACTCTCTGTGTTTATATCTTGTGGTAGGAGTCTTGTGTAGATATTGGCCCTTGTATCCTTGACTGTCTGGCACACTGACAGACTTGTGCCAGCGTTCAAGCACAAAAGGCTGCAATACAATAAACTGGAACTGAAAAGGCATTTTTATGACTTGCTATTTTGCCCAACTCTTTCATTTTGTGTCGTAAAATGAGTTATTTTTGGTCTGGTTACACTTGTACGTGTAAGGAGGTCTTTCTGACTGCTTTCAGTCAAACTCACTTGTAATTCTTTTTGTCTATGTGAGCATGTGTGTGGGTGGGGAGAAGGTGGGGCATTGACTACTTTTAACTGCCCTTGTTTCCTTGCTTTATGTTACAAACATTTCCAAGATTCAAATGCTATATTGCGGGGTACAATTTTTGAAGTATATAGGAGCATGTTTTGATATTTGTTTTTAAGAAGCTTCTCAAATGAAGTGTTTTTTTTTTTTACTGGCAAGCAGGGAGTTCCTGTGTGTCACAGACAGTGCTCATATTAGTGCAGCTGTTCGTGGGGACATGGCTGTTGTTATCCTTCTGTCTGTGAGATGGGAGGGGCTGGACACATGCAATCACCCCCCCCCCCCCTCCCACTCCCTCCACCAGCACACACACAAACACCCCAACACACACGCACACATAAGATGCACTCATTTGGTAACAATTGTGGTGTCAACGCAGGTTCACAAATACCTCCCCTCCCCCAAAAACTCTTAAATGATTGATACAACCAACCTGAACATTGAGAAGCATAAAGGAATCTACTTAAAAAAACAAAAAAATTAAAGCATCTGTTCTTTTGAGTAAGCTTTTGCTGCAACATGTACTGTAGTGTTAATAGGCAATGCAGGTCTATGCCTATTTTAGGTATGTGTGTGTGTGTGTGTGTGTATGCGTGCATTTGTAGTTGTAGTGGGGATACTGTGTGTCCTGGCACCCTCATTCTCAGGTCTCAGTTTCTGTACAGTTGTTGCTGCTCATTCATGTCCTGTCATGCTTTTAAGCTTACATCACACCCCGGAGAGGAGTGTTAGATCCAGCACATGCATACAAAAACTTTCATGGTTATTTATAAAGGAGGGGGAAAAAAAGAAAAAAAAGAACACATAACGGCCATTATATAGTAAGTGGAAGGGTTGTGAAAGTTCTAGCATTTAAAAGAGATGTGTTGATTTTGTTGTAGATTAGACAACCTAAGGATTGATCAGTAAGCTTCTCATTAGGTCATTTTAAATTCTAATGTAAAATAACCCATTTACATATTTTTCTAATAGAGTCATACTGAACATAATAGTAAATTATGTCAGTGAGCAGTGAAATGGGGGTGCGTAATCCAAACACACTGCCTGGCCAAAAATAAGTCGCCACCTGGAAACGTTATGGTCTGGGGTTGATTCATTTAGTCAAGTCAAGGTTCAGTGACATTATGTGCCCATAAATGTGGTCAGCTGAGTACCTGAACTAAGTAAATGACCAGATTTTTCCATTAAGAAAAAAATATTTTATATTTTCTTCCCTGGTAGGCATAGCTCAAGTTGACAGTGACAGAAATAATCAATCTCAAAGTGTGAAATGTTGCTTGTTGATTGGGGGATAAAAGTGTTCAGGAGAACACTTTGCCTAGTAATCTTACTCCAAACTGTTATTGCAAGAGCTTTATGTAAGAACATGAACCCTGGGGGGAAATACATTTGTGACATTGCATATTCTTACTGAATGATGCCATAGAAAATGTGTTTTATAAAACAAATTAAAAAGAAATCTTTCTAATATTGGACTTTTTTAGCCAAATGTTTATACCCCAAAAATGAACCGCAATGATGATGTCTACATGTCTCGCTGTATGTTTGCAGTACCTTGGTAAATTAAAGTACCTACCAGTAAGTGGTTCTATTATGGGCAGAGCGGTGGTGCAACTGGTAGATCTGCTGCCTCTAGGCGAGCAGGTTACCCTGGTTCACATCCTGGTCCTGGGGCCTTTCTGGGTGGAGTTTGCATGTTCTCTCCGTGCATTTGTAGGTTTTCTCCGGGTACTCCGCTTTCCTCCCACAGACCAAAAACATGCATGTTAGTCTGATTGGTAACTCTAAATTGTCCCTAGGTGTGAGTGAGAGAGTGAATGGTTGTTTGTCTCGTTTGTCTCTGTGTGTCCCTGTGATGGACTGGAGACCTGTCCAGGGTCTACCCCACCCCTCGCACAGTAATTGCTGGACATGGGCAATGACGACCCCTGCAACCCAAAATGGAAGAAGTGGGTAAAAGATAATGGATGGATGGATGGATGGTTCTAATATGTTCATGCAAGGGCACTGTGGATTCCTGTAAATCTGTTTTTACATCAAGACACAAAACTAAAGTAAAAACTTTATCAAGTGTGGACCATATTTTGAATTTGGAATGTGCATTTTTGTATTAATTTGTTTACAAAAAAAATCATAATGTGGATAAAGAAAAATACAAGCTCCTTAAGAGTGAGAAACATTTTTTTTGAAGCCCATGCTAAGTTAGGTAAATCAATCAATAACCTGTGAAAAAAATTTCTTGCAAGCACCTACAGTATGTGTTAGCTCAATCAACAATGTTTGAAAATCTAAACAATTTAATACTGCCTTAAACACATTGTCCAGGAACTGACAGTTGTGACAAAATATTTAGATGTTATTAAACGGTTAAATGAGGCATCACTTAGTGTCCAGTTTTAAGCATGTATATTCTGTTTTATCCAGCTGATTTAACCAAACAAATCCATTCTGAGGTCTATTTTAGATCAAGTGTTTAAAGCATCCATAACATTTAAAAAATATGTAGTTACGCCAAACATTTTTAGTATTATAATTGTTTGTATTAAATTGTTTCTAAGTATATTTCTTGTGTTTATTTGAGAGCATCAATTACCAAATTCAGAATGTCTAAGGCTCCCCATGTGCCTCAGTAAATGCTCACTACAAACATCACGTGATACACAATTATATCAAACTGTATTCAAACTTACTTTTATATATAGGTAGAACTGGGTGGGCTAGGAATATACACATTTGCATTTGTAATACTTTTAAATAGTCTTCATTCATTCATTTAAATATCATTTGTCTGTCAGTTATTGCAGTAAGTTATTGCTGTATGTTCTGAGTTTGAAAAGTCATCTTCCCAAAAAAAATCTTAATAATAAAAAAAAAACATATATGTAAGCTTTTATGTCCTATTATGAATCACTGATGATTAAAAGTAGAATGTGTTTTTTTATTTCCTGTCTCTTATTTCTATTTTTCCCCTTTCTGCAGACATGTTCCAATCCCTCATTTCCCTCTCCCAAGGCCATCTAAGCTCTTTGTTGGAGGACTCCTACTCGTCCCTGTCCCATCATGCCTTGCCCCATGTGAACGGACTGTTCGCTTCTCTCTCCCTATATTTTCGTGGAGCTAATGTTTCTGTAGAGGCAGCAGTTCAACAATTTTTTAACAACATCTTCCCGCTTGTATATACACAGCTAATAAATCCAGGCTTCGAAGGACGTGTAATGACAGGCAGTGTAATGGGTGACTGCCTTCGAATGATCAGACAGGACGTCAACCCTTTTGGGCATCACCCAGCCATCATGGCTCAGGAACTGGCTGGGGCATTGGAGGCTGGCCGACAACTGGGTCTCACCTTAAAGAAAGGAGTAGAGGTCATGAATGCAACGGAACATGCCAATTTGAGCCGGGACTGTGTAAAGAACCTGATGAAGATGGTGTTCTGCTCCCACTGCCGAGGTTTAACGTTGATCAAGCCCTGTGTGGGCTACTGTCTGAATGTCATGAGAGGCTGCTTAGCTAGTGTGTCGGAGCTGGATCAGCCTTGGAGGAGATATACTCACTTATTGGGGAAACTAACATCTGCCATCGCTGGGCACCACAACCTGAAGCTAGCCACTCTTGGGGTCAGGGGTCATGTTAATGAAGCATTGCTCCACGCTCAACTCCATGGTCCAATCATTACTGCCACGGTGAGTAGACATCGATTACAGCTTTAATGGCTCATGCAAAAGTTTCCAAACTGTTTTTGTTTATCATTTTTGCTTTATCCATATATCTTGGCAATTTTAATTGTAATTTTTGGAAAGCATTATAGATTATTTTTTCTTCTTTTTTGGTGGTTTATGAGCTCATTTTTCCACCAGTGTAATAAAAAAATCCTGCACACAGCATTCATGTTTGTACAGAGCTAAAACTATTCCAAGAAAAAATGTTTATTCAAAAAGAACTTAACCTTATCCAGTGCACTACAGACTTGGCAAGTACTCCAAAACTGGCAAGGCATCTTAAATTCATCACTGCTGTTTAGATTATGACAGAATATTATTTGTCAGTGACTGTGATGAAATGGGTTTAAGTAGTGGATAAAACATCATCTTTGTTCTCTTCCATGACATGATTACTACCATATGCATTACACTATATCTGGGTCACTATATCTCACTGTTTGTATAATTCTTATGGCATAAAAACAATTTCTTTAACTAAACGTGGTTGTTAAATTCACTGTAAAAAACTTTGCCAATAAAAAAATAACATTTTTATATAGATTTTTATGGTTAAGCTGTATAGAATAAACAACAACAAATCAAATAGATGTTGCATATGTTTCTTAATTTATCACAAACAGATTTGTTTGTATATTTGTGTGGAATAAATTGTTATTTACTGAAAAATTGACAATTATTGATATATTTCTTCAGTCTCTGTTCAAAATGAGTTTAGCCCCTGGTAAATCTCCGTGTCTTAGTTAGGAACAAATGCATAAGACAGTCCACTATTTATTTATTTATTTCCTACCACTGTACTTTATTTGTATAACAACTTTATGATTAGCTAAATGTGAATACTATATTTGGAGTCACACTTTATCTTAGCTTGTTAGTGTTTTTTCTTAATATACCATTAAGATGAACTGTTGTCTGTTATTTTCATATATTTGTGATAACTAACACAGTAGAAAGTACATGAGTTGGCCATGTCAATTTTAAAATCTTGTAAATGGTAGACTTCTGTACATAAACTATGTTTTTATTTTATTTATTTGTTTATTGTAGACATGGATTAAGAGCTTGGTTGACAAAGTTTCCTGAGGCATTAGCAAAATATCTATCACTTGCTTTAATTAAAATAATACAGGATTACATTGTTGTGTTTTTATAAACCAGTGTGCTGGTGAAGATTCCCAGTTATCCAGGACAAGTTAAATTCAAAAATGTTCAATACAAAAACAACTGGACTTTATTTGTAACAGAAGATGTTTCGCTTCTCATCCGAAGAGCTTTCTCAATTCAAACAGCAGTGAGTGTGGGGTTCAGGTTATAAGGCTGAGATAAGATACACAAACATATGTAGATTGACAAATCACATATAAATCAATTTGTTTGTTTGCGTGAAATCTTAGTGCTTCTACAAGCATATACAGTATATTTGGGCATAAAATAAACTAAGAACAACTATAGTACATTATTACTAATCGAAACTGCCTAGCTTAGAACCTTAATAATATCACACAAAGTAATTTCTCACTATCACAGACACAGTTTTTCTTTTGGCTGCTTCCTTGTGCGGGGGTCACCGCAAAAAGCAAATTCACACAAAATATTGGCCAATCTTTTTACAATGGATGTCCTTCCAGACAAACTGTGCTCAAACCTGCAACCTCAGGATTATGAGACCAATGGCACTGACGACAGATCAGCATCAGTATCACAGACTGACCTCATAAAAACATATCTTAGTTTCATTTTTTACAACCTTCATATTACCATTAATTTTTCATTGTGTTTCGATGGAATTCCATGAGTACTTGCAAGAGTAAATAGAATGCATAACTAGCTGTACTACTTTAGGTACATTCAGTGGTACTTTCTGTAGTAATAGAGACCATTTATGCTATACAATAACTAGCAGAAATATGTTTTGTTGAATTTAACAATTAAGGAAAACTCAAAATGTTCAGATTTGAAACTGGATGATATGTTCAATGTTCATTGCTGCCTGAAGGTAACTTTTAATCTCATGCCAACATCATAAAGTTAACTAGCACTAATATATATACATATATATATATATATATATATATATATATATATATATATATATATATATAGTCAAGTAACACAACTTTGGAATATCTCATTGAATGAAAACTACACTATTATGAAAATATTCCAAAATTCTTGAGAAATTCCCCAGTGGATATTGGTCAAACTCTCAAATTGTTAGGTGCCTGTGACTTTTACATCTTTGTGACACTGTACCACAAATTGTAATTTCATCGTGATTAACAGTAGTTTAGCCACATAAGCTTGTAAGTACCTCATCACTCTGTATATTTAGTTGCTCCATCAAGAAATAAAATGGCATGAAATTGTATTAAGGGGAGCAAAAAGGAATGCGTACAATAACGTCCCATAGAAATTATCCAGGGATGTCTGGGCAAAGGCTGTCTTGGATGACAAGTGAGACCATGGATATGGGTCTTTTGGTCAGAGGACGCCACATTTTAATTTGCATTGTAGAAAAACAAGTATTTTTTGAAAATGCTGACGAAGACAATGCTAGATGTTAATAGTGAAATATACAAACTAAAGTGTTTGGCATGGAATTAGGATGCACTATAAACTCAACATCTTTTCTCCTGTTTAATCCAGCAAGATGGGGCTAAATCTTTTTTAACTGTACTGCTTACAACAACAAAAAAAATTCAAGTGGAGAAATCCACCAGACAGTGGTTACCAATTGCCAAGCAGATAAAGCAATGTATGCAATAATAATAGATGTTAGATGCATATAGAAAAAATTAAACATTATCTATTGTTGTTGTTTTGCGTATTAATAGTGGTTTAACATGCAGTCCTTGTTTATTTATTATTGTTTTTTTTTCATTACTAACATTTTAGATTGGTGTATATTATACCGTAGATCCAATGATTCCAGTTTTCAGACACACACATACACATGTATGTGTGTGTGTGTGTGTTTGTGTGCTTGTGGATGTCTGCTTGGTATTCATGGAGTGGTGAAAAGCTCAAAGCAGGGAGCCCAGTGTACGAACAAGTGGGACAAAACTGAAAGATTTCAACGAGGTCATACAAACCAGAACTACTCAGGTGGAACGAAAGAGGTCCAAAAGAAGAAAAAACACTGAAACACAGACACTGGTGCCTCTTATTTTCTGTGCTCTCATTCATGTTTTTTATGAAACCACAGTGGCCTGTTAAGGAAAACTGTTAAGTCTTCATTGCACAATTACTGGATCATGGCTGTAGACATTACTATTGAATATCCATGTACCCCCTTCCAAGACAAATAATCAGCTTGCAAATTACAATTGTTTTGCAGAGGTTTCATGTTTGACTCAAGTTTTACACTTTCACCAAATACAAAAGAACACTTATTTATTACAATTTTTCAATAATTGTATGACTCTGTGAATTTAAGAACAACATTAAGTTGATCATTTCTATACATACTGAGCATAAAGTCTGCACTGTTAGTAGGTTTCAGGTGTTAGCCCTGTAAGGAACCTTACTGTTTTAACACACTCCTGTATGCTTTACTGAGACTGAGCATGAATGTTTGTCAAAGGGGGGTGGTCATGGATGATGGGAGTGCCTGGGGCAGGATTGTGTTGATCAGGCACAATTAGGAGAAAGTTGGAATTTTTCCAGTAATGGAGGCTACTCTTATTGGTCCTTGACTCAATTGGCAGCTCCAATGTTTGGTCAAGTTTTCTTCCTGTGAATACATACTTGTTGAATTCATCTTAAAATTTTCTTCTCCACAGTGAGTGGTACTTGAGAGGCCACAGGCTGCTGATTATTGACATAGCTTTTAAAATGTCAAGGCTCGTTTGGCTTACATGGATATTTTATATTATCTGCTTGTTAAGATAGACAGATGTAGATACATGTGACACAAAGAAGCCTTTATTCCCTCAAACTCTTATTTATTGATGTAAGTAGTACTTAAAATGTTATCGCCCACAACTGTAACACCAAGAAGCTCTTTAGTATCCCTTTATGTACAAGTGTCATGCAAGAATGATGTTAGAAACAGAAGCCTGATTAGATCCAGGCTCGAAGTGGCAGCTGCATTTTAAATGAGTACATTTAAAAGCAAAGAGACTACAGAAATCCATCAGATATAAAATAATTAGCTATCAGGTTAGAGTTTATATAGTAGCTGTGTTTAATATTTTAGAAAATGCAAAAACAAGAGTGGACTCAGCACCTAATACATGTATACATATACAGATAACTCATGCTTCTAAATTCTGTGGAGCTTTTCCTTGAGGTGTGAAGTCCAAGCAGGCTGATTGATTTACTCAGCAGTTCATTTACTAATGGCAGTGGGTGCAGGGTAGCTCCCTCCATTGGCCTCACACATTTTTCTCAACCTCTTCATTCTTCATATTCTTTAAGCATGCTGTAATATGTTGATGTCTTTCAACACCACAGGAAATATGCACAATAGCATTCCCTTCATTAAAAACATATGCTCTGATTACATGACTGATTACTAGAGCACCACATTTGAATGGAACAATAAAGCAGCTGTTCTTAGTACGGTTTATTGTTTTGACCCAATGAAATAACGTTTGAAATATCATGCAATTTAGTGTTAAACTGTTGATATTAAGTGGATGTAATATTAAACAACTAAGACTAATATGGCTTCTTCCTGTAAATTATTAACTGCACTTTATGGACTGTTGTACACTGTAAAACAGAGAAAATAAGAAAAGGACAAGGTTGACGAGAGAACATCACTGGCATTTACTTAAAATTTTAACTATTCAGAATCTGGGCCCTCAACTTTGGATTGCACAGTTATTTACATATATATTAAGAATATTTGTAAGTACAAATAGAGACAGCAGCAGTAACCTTTAGCTCTTTAAGTGCAGTACGGGAAACTTGTGGCGTAAATATCATAAATCTGCCTTAATAGATTTGTAATGCAA